TGTGGGGAGCTGGAGGATAGCTGTAGGTTTGCTCCGTTCAGCCCCAGATATTTTCCTTCTGGCCGGCTGCGCTCTATGAGTTCTTAGGTCGTCCTGACTCACTCAAGCGCTCCAAAACCTCCACAGTCTCCCTATACTCACTACCTACCCCAGTATGTTATCTCTCACCACATTAACCAACCTTTGACAACTCCAAGCAATCGAATTTAAAATATAATTGATCTTTCTGCCTGCAATTTTGTAGGCTACCGCTCTGAATTGAGATAAAAATTGATAAATGACAATATCTGTGAGACGTCTTCTTACCATCGCCCTTTGGTCGAATTCCTGAAAATTTCAGCTCAGTAAGAAGCAGATTACCACACTCACTGTTGAATGAGGCTGCCCCTGGTCCTACAGCTGGTCAGAATTTGAAGAATAGGGTTCAGGTAATAATGATCTGGGCTGAGGATGGAAATGATTCCAAACAAATCCTTTTCCATCAGATCTGCCCCAGTTCTTCCTCAGTTGGAACCGTCCAAGATTTGTCCTGTACATCCACACGCTTCAGCAGTCCAACAGCCCAGTTTGTTAGGGCAGTCTATTTTTATATAGTTAGTGCTGGGTAACACCCCCAAAACATCATGCCACCATTCAATCCCACCTTTTTGGGGTGGATTTGATATAGGATCTTAATGCATTTCTATAGAGATGGTTACCTCACTCTCATACATAATAAAATCTGGGTGTAACTTCATTCTGTCTGGTCTTGTCCAGACTTGTCTGATTCAACATTTGATTTTTTTTTCCTCTTTTTGTACCTTATAAGGGCCAATGTTTTGCTTAGAGCTGTTTTTAAGGTCCGTTATTGTGAAATACTCTCTACTCATTGCTCGCACTGTACTTTTGAAAACATTTTCTGAGAACACAGTTTACTTCATTCTTAAACTCTCAACATTATAAAACAATACAGAGTACATTTTAGAATCACAAAAGATTACATCGTCAACTTGATTATCTTTACTTTCCCTTGTAATAAACAATTCATGTTTCTATATTTAAAAAATAATTTCAGCTGAGGGAAATGTTCTCCATCTTTCACTTTTCTCCTTCTGTCCCCATTCCTCCCGCTCGCGTGTATGTGCTTGTGTGTGTTTGTGTAGTGTGAGAGTGTGTGAGTGAGTGTGTCTAAGTGTAACTGCCTGCATTTGTACGCGTGAGTGTGTGTGTGCTCGAATGTGTATGTGTGCGTGTGTCTTTCTCCAGCATCTGTTTCCCATTATCCAGGCCTGAACATGAACATGTCTGGACATGTCTGAGGGACATGTTTAAACTTGTTTTGAGGGACAGACTGTTTCCACTAAGTGGCCTCTATTGACAATAGATCCTCACTGAACTTCTGGAGTGAGTTTGCTGCACTGAAAGTAAAGGGGCCAAATAATATTGCACGCCCCACTTTTCAGTTTTTTATTTGTTAAAAAAGTTTGACACATCCAATAAATTTCATTCCACTTCAC